GTTGTGTTTTCAGGTCGAAGAAGAATACGTGCCGAACGCAAAAGCGCCTGCTATGAAAAACGTTCTACACGTAGCAGGTGTCTACCAGATATCAGCCAGAGTTTTTAACACGAACAACGAGAGATCACTTCATAACATTGGATATGGATTTTTCGGCTCTTCAGAAGCTTCAACTTGTCTGTGGAAAGACATCGACTTCTCAGATCATGTACGTAACCATAATCTATAAACTATCATATAATTCTGAATTGATAATTAAGATCGCAACCTTTCAGCATGATTTACTGAAAGTTGGAAAAGACTCCGTTGAGAACATAGCCGGTTTATCAGGGTCAAGTCAGATGAAGCGTCGATTGAAGCATCGAGAAAGTTCTGAGTCAGGTAATTTCGATGTCGACAGCGAACTACTGCCGGAAAACGATTTCGAGTAAAGATAAGTTTCTTGGAGAACATCCTCGCTAATTTGTAAACTTTAGCGAAAAGGACTTCGAAGACACGGATACAGGAAGGATCTTTAATTTACCTCAGGTTGTGACCGTAAACCTCGACACGCAGACCGGTTCTGCCGTTTACTATGTAAGTAAAGGAAATCAGTGTTTGTCCACATGTTTCGAACTGTTGATCGTGAAGAACAGCAGGAATCCTTAGAAAAAAGATCCACTTAGAAAACGCATACTCTTTACAGCCACATATCTTTATTTACGGTACTTTTCAACATGATTGCTGGCTTGACTATATCATACTTGAAAAATCTATATCGGTTAGTTATCATTTTAATACCATCGTTCAGGTTAACGTCCTTAAAAGTAGTGTTGGGTTTTACCTGATGATGATTCAACAACGAATCATTGATAAATTTTAAAGTTTAAACTGGAGGTCTAATTGTGTACTTGAAAATGGAACTTTCCTGGTGAAAAAAATCATTCGAACAGCAAGTAATCACATATTAGAAATCGAGCTTTTAGTTTTAAAAAAGCACAAACTGCGGTTTACTTATACACAAGGAAAACAATTGAGTCAATTGGATGATTGACCCGTACTAACGTTTTGGCCCATGTCTCATGAGCACTGTTGAAGTTAAATGGATGAATGAGCTTTGAAAGTTTTTCCGGTCGTTCGGAAGTTCGCAAGACTAGCTACTGATCCGTGCCGATAATCCTTCCTGTGGCAGACATGCGACAACATTAACCGTGACGAACGACACAAACCCCGTGCGAATTGGATGAACCTTGTCGCCCCTGCTGTCAGAAAACTGCTTAACAGACAGCACGGAACGAAAGCTCGCCATCTAGATACAAATCTATGACCTGGTGCAGGACTTCCGAAGGTCACTCACTTCATTGCTTTGAAAAAGACCGGTGAGAGACGAACCGAGATGTCAACGTCAGTTCGTGTGAAATCATCTGATTGACCAAGTCGTTACGGGTGCGATAAGTCCACCTCGTCTTGTGCTATTTTGGTATAATCACTAACATACGAGCCAAATGCTGGGACATCTAGAGCATACTTTTGGACTGTCCGTAATGACGTGAACCTGTAAGCTTGAATTGTTGGCCATAGGAGAGTAATTCGGTAGAGGGGACGTGACAGCTCCGTTTCATTACTATATCTATAATTTTTT